CCCTGGGATCCCTGGGACACACAAACCCCTCCACCACGATAAGGTAGCGATTCACGGAGAGGTGAATAGGCTGCAATCTCTGTTTTATAGGCGTTTCGTCTTTAAGCTTGAGCTTAAGCTTAACTTTAGTGGCATGGCCAAAGTCGAGATCGTGGCATGCAAAAACATCACTGTAGCCACTAAGACTCTGTGTGACCTGACTTCCATTCCTCGGGCAGAGGTGAATCACCAAAATCAAAGGTCAACTGGTCCTTGGGTGATGAACATGAGTCTGCAGACAGGCTACAACAACCCGCAGAGTTTGCACTCAACGTGATTTGAGTTTCAAAAACTAGTTCAGCAAGGATGCAGTTGCCAGGAAGCATGATGTCATGATCAGTTTTGTTTCTGATCCAAACAGGATGCTTGTAAGGACTTTGATGTGGTACTGTGATAAGGCAGCAATCATCAAAGATCCCTCCCGGAAGGGCTGAGGAAGTTGGCTGCTCTACAACTGCTCATCTGTTGGTGGGTGGTGAACTTAGGTGGGCATAACTCTCTAAGCAAACCTTTTCATGAGCTGGTATAATGTAAGGTGTGTTGCCCCTCAGTGTCATTAGTCCAAGCGTTCCTGTGCTTTTTGTTTCATGTCTATGTTCAAGGATTTTTAAAATCTGAGTAAAGCCATCGACAGCTGATCAAAGTGCATCAATGATGTCACAGAGACCAGGCCTATCACTGTCCGGGCTAATGAGAAACCATGGGTCACAGGGGAGGTCTACAGGCTCCTGAGGGTGAGAAATGCAGCCTTCACACCTGGAGATGAGGTGAGCCTAGAAACAGCAAGGGCAAACCTGTCACGTGGCACCAGAGAGGTGAAAAGGCAGTACAGTGGTCCCTCATTTTAACCCTGTTTTCAGGTCCAGAACATGGGAACAGAGCAGCTGCGAGAGAATTCAACATTAATGAATCAATGGTACGGAAGTAGAGGAAGCAAGAAGAATGAGTTGAGTAAAGTTTGACTTATCTGACTGTTTTATTTCACTTCATGCCCCTTATAATCCGGTGTGCCTTATGGTCCAAAAAATACGGTAACTTCTACCTTCCTTCAGCATTTCAGAAGTCCAACTTTTTGTGTGATGGTTAGCATCTTCCTCTGCCTTTTGGGTGCTACCACAGGTGCCTTTGATGGTGCAGAACATTTCATCGACATTGTCGTGTTTGATGGGCAGAAAACTTACAAGCATACAGTACAGCACTTCAGAGTCCCACTGCTAGCGATCGAAGAATTATGTAAATTTGGCAAGCTGAACGCATTCTGCACTGTACAGGAGACACAGCACGCAGGAGATTGATTGACAATGCTCTACAGCCAATCAGGACACAGAACACAATGCGCTGCAAGAAAAAAACACCATGCAAAATTGCACAAAAAAAAATCAGCGAAACAGCGAGGGCGCGAAATGTGAACCGCATTATAGTTATTATATTATATTATATATAGTTATTACATTATAGGACCAGTGTACTCCAGGAGGATTTCTCAAAGCTTCAGTGACAGCAGAGATACTCGGAGGTTGTGGCAAGGGATACAGACCATCACAGACTACAAGCCCACTACCAGACCGCTGTTAGTCCACATCTTTACCGGATGAGCTAAACGAATTCTTCACTCACTTTGAGGCACAAAAATACACCCCCGCACAGAAGACCCCCCACCCCCCATTCCACCCCATCCCCCAACGACCAGGTGGTGAGACTATCCCCAGACAGTGTGTGGAGATCCTTTGAAAGGATCCACACCCTGCACACCCCACTAGCTATCAACAGTGCTGATGTGGAGAGGGTAAGCAGCACCAAGTTCCTGGGTGAGCACATCTCAGAAGATCTCTCCTGGTTAAAAAACACAGCATCACTGGTCAGAAAAGCCCAATAGCGACTCTACTTCCTCTGCTGACTGAGAAGAGCAAGAGCCTCAACACCCATTATGAGCACCTTCTACTGCACCCGCCTCATCCAGAAAGCTCTCAGCATTACAGGTGACTCCACTCATCCGTCCAACAGCTTCTTCAGGAAGGAGACTAAAGAGCCTCTCTAGACCAGCAGACTGAGAGACAGCTTCGTCCATCAGCCTGTCAGGATGCTGAATTCATTCCTTGCTCTCACACACAGGAACTCCAGACCTGCATTCAACTCTTCCCTTTTTTTATCTTTATATTGTTTTAGTGTACACTGAGGGCCATGGGAGCTTTGCAACTTCAAATTCCTGTGTATGATCTGTGCATATGGTTTTTGACAATAAAGCTGACTTTGAGCAGACTTTGACTTTATGGTTTCAGTACTGATTTTACAGACATTAAGCAGATGTTAGAAGAGCTTTGGATACACGTGGGTTACGCTGAAAGTATTTTAGGGAATTGCATTGTAATGAAAAAATCTACGTGTGTTTTCCTTTTTATCTAAATTTTTAAAACTACATCAAAAGAATAAAAGAAAACTATCAAACCACTGCAGATATTTTGTGTAACTAATCATGAAATAAATGTGATTATAAATTTTTCTGTGCAATATACTGTACTATACTTTGCATATTTACAGTGTCTTTATGTGTGTGAGTTTGTGTCAACACAGAAGTTTTGCATGACTCACAGAATGTGCCTTTTGGTATATATCTTTATCTGTAAGCACACCAGTTAAGCCTGCTGCTTTTGCGTGTCAGAGATTTGTGCAGGTTACAAATAAGGACACAATAAAAGAGAATGCAGGTTGTGATTTTTGTAATGAAGTCCAGATCACATTCTGGTACCTGGCAATGGCAGGTTACACTGTCATGTTTAACTTTAACAGTAACTGCAGGACAAGACCATTGGAACATATTACCACTTTTTTGTCCCTATGTGTGATTGTAGGTGGACCAACAACCCTTCACTCTTTGTCTAGCTCTCTCTCACTCATTTTTTCTTCTTTGTTTTTTATTCATCTGTCTTTCTCTCTCTTTTTGTTTATCTTTCTGTCTATGCAGCTGTACAGCAGTATGCCTGTATGTTTGCCAGCAGCATAAGAAGAAGCATTATGGAAGTGAAAGAGCGACGTCCATACTGCTCACTAACAAAGGGCCGGAAGGACAAAGAGGGGCCATACACTGGTAAGACAGCTCATTTAAAACATTCATAGAGTCTTTTATGTTTTTTTTATTATGTATGTGTGTGTTTGTCCATCCATTCATTTCATGAGTCAGCCAAGAGCTGACTGATATATATATACCCACATAGCAAGGAGGCCTGGCCCGGATCTGGTATCAAGCCGGCACTGCTGGCTGACTTCTGGTATGGTAAGATGTATGTCATCCAGATATGGGCCAGGCCTGGCATAGATGGCACTGTCTATGCGATGGCATGCCATATCTGGCTCGATTGTGGTTTGGTTTATGTGGCCCAGGCTCATAGAAAACAGGTCTGGCCGGGATCCGGCATCAAGCTGGCACTTCTGAATGACTGGTGTCATGGCAGGGTGTATGTCAACCAGATGTGGGCCAGGTCTGGCAATGATGGCACTATTTATGTTCCTTTTTTCCTACTTTAGATAGAAGACCCAAATGCCATGTTGCAATACTATACTGCTATGGTAGCCAACGTTTCAAGTGCGGCTTTGACAGGTTTGTGGGTGTACACATTATTCAAAACCCTGTGAGCTGCAGCCAGTTGGTGGCTGTAGCTCAGGAGGTAGAGTAGGTCACCGATTGATTGGAAGGTTAGTTGTTCGATCCCTGGCTCCTCCAGTCTGCATGTCAAGAGTGTGAATGTGTATGAATGTAGTTAGGAAGCAGTCAGTTTAGAGAAAGTGTGTGATTGCGTGAATGTGCCATGTTGTATAGAGCAGTTTGAGTAATCTGGGAGAGTAGAAAAGCGCTATATAAGAATCAGTCCATTCACTGTCTGAACAGAGTTTCATCATGTTACTTTTGCACTATTATGTTCCGGTACATGTTGTTATTACATGGCTTGATTAAGGTACACATTAGGCTGACAAGACGAGGAATCTCCTGACCATGCATGAAGGGTTTCACCCCAAGTCCAGCACCCTGAGACTGTACGCTAAGTGGAAGAAAGGAGGCCGGGGACTACTGAGTGTTACTACCACAGTCCAGGATGAGACAACGAACACGAGTACACCAGAAAGATGGCCGCCACCAGTGTGCTCAGGGAATACCTCAGGCCGCAGAAACCTAAGAAATGGGAGCAAGAGGAGGAACAATCATGGAAAGACAGGTCCCTGCACGTTATGTACCACCAGCAGATAGAAGAAGTGACTGACATCCAGAAATCCTAGCAGTGGCTGGACAAAGCTGGACTGAAAGACATCTTAGAGGCACTAATCATGGCAGCACAGTAACAAGCTCTGAGCACAAGATCCATAGAGGCTGGGGTCTATCACACTTGGTAAGACCACAGGTGCAGGCTGTGTAAAGATGCCCCTGATACAATCCAGCAGAAACATCTGTGCCAAGTATGGCCTGGAAATCCCGAGGTCAAAATGGGAGACACGATACAGAATGAGAGCAACATCAGGAAAAAGGAACACAAGAAGCAGGAGAAATACCAAGGGCTAACAGAAGAGCTCAAGACGACGAGGAGTGTGAAGGTAACAGTGGTCCCAATGGTAATCGGAGCACTCAGCAGTGATCAGTGAGATGCTTGGCTATAAGTTGAACAGCCACAAGGAGCAGTACTCTCCATGGAGAAGAAGACTAGAGGCCAAGATCAAGGTAGCACGGAAGGAAGTAGGCCTAAGTATGGTATAACAGGGAGATAGGCAGGAAAATAAACCAGCTGTTCTCTCAGAACCAGCCAAGGGGTACTCTTAGTAGCAGGAGAACAATATGAGAACACCACCAAGGCTGGAGATGTTGCAATACTGGAAGAACATATGGGAGAAATACACAACCAAAATGTCAATGCTCAGTAGCTAGTGGATCTAAGAGAAGACCACAGCAACCTCCCTGAACAGGATCCAGTAACCATCACTGTAGCAGACATTCAAAAAAGGGTCTCCAGTATTAAAAGTTGGTCAGCACCAGGCCCCGACATGGTTTATGCCTTCTGGCTGAAGAGCTGACTGCACTGCATGAGTGTCTGGCAGCATAAATGAACCACTGAAGGACGGACGGTCTTGATCCCCAAGGTTCCCCAGAAGGGACCAGTCCCATCCAACTACCAGCCAATAACCTGCCTCGCTACCACATGGCTGCTGGCATCATAGCAGCAAAGATGAGCAGGCACATGGGTCAATACATGAGCGGGGCACAGAAAGGGATTGGCAAGAATACCAGAGGAGCAAAACACCAGCTACTGGTAGACAGAGCAGTTGCCCAAGACTGCAAGACTAGGCTGACCAACATGTGCACTGCCTGGATAGATTACAAGAAGGCCTATGACTCGATGCCCCACACTTGGATCCTGGAATGCCTAGAATTGTATAAAATCAACAGGAGCCTAAGAGCCGTCATCATGAACTCAATGGGGATGTGGAAAACAACACTAAAGGCCAACTTCAAGCAAATAGCACAAGTCACCATCAATTGCGGGATCTACCAAGGAAATGCTCTGTCCCCCACTGCTGTTCTGCATAGGCCTGAACCTCCTCAATGGGATGTCTTGATGCATGCTCAGTCATCCAGGTAAGTGAATCCCAAAAGTTGATTCTGTTTATCTGGATGTAGCGTTTTCAGTGGGAGAAATGTTTGGTCACTCATCCAAGTGACTCAGTAATGATCAAGGAACTGACCTCACAGTCCATTGTTCGGTGGGCTAGTTTGTGCAAAAGTACGGTTTATAAGAATGGGGAGACCTGCAGTCAGCTGAGACTGAAGAAGTCACTTGGATGAGTGATGAAACATTTCTCCCACTGAAAACGCTACATCCAGATGAACAGAAACAACTTTTTGTGGTTCTAAGTGAGATCATTGACAAGACTGGCTATGAATACCCACTACAGGATGGAGCAATTGTCAGCCAACTGCTCTACATGGATGACATCAAGCTGTATACCAAGACTGAACAAGACATCGATTCACTGATCCACAACACCGGGATATACAGCAATGACATCGGGATGTCATTCGGACTGGAGAAGTGCAGTCAGACGATAACAAAGAGAAGGAAGATAGTCAGAACTGCCAGAAGGCAATATTGCAGACACAGAGGACAGCCAAAGTACCTGAGAATCCCACAGGCAAATAGGAAACATGAAGAGGCCGCCAGGAAACCTGCAACCACCAAGTACCTGCAGAGGGTCAGGCAAGTCCTTAGGAGTCAGCTGAATGGTAAGAATAAGATCCAGGCTATCAACACCTACCCCCTGCCTGTGATCAGGTACCCTGCTGGGGTAATAAGCTGGCCAAAGGCGGCGATGGAAGCCACTGACATCAAGACCAGGAAGCTCCTGACCGTGCATGAGGGTTTCACCCCAAGTTCAGCTGTACGCTGAGCTGAAGGAAGGAGGCCGGGCACTAGTAGCAATACCGAATGTCAGCAACAAACACAACGGAACACAAGAAGCAGGAGAAGTACCAAGGGCTCAGAGAAGGGCTCGAGAAGATGTGGAGGGTGAAGGCAACAGTGGTCCCAGTGGTAATCGGAGCGCTAGGTACAGTGACTCCCAAGCTAGGCGAGTAACTCCAGCAGATCCCAGGAATAACATCTGAGATCTCTGTTCAGAAGAGCGCAGTCCTACACTGTAAAATCTAATTAGTTCACAGAACTCAAAAAAACTATGTAAACTCGTTGCCTCAAAAAAACTAAGTAAAGCTTACTTAAGATGACTGTTAGGACAACTTATTCATTGCAAGTCTGCAGTATTAAGAATAACTTGATATTTCTGACTGTACAATTTTAATTGTTTACCTACTGACAAACATTTCAAGTTCAACTAAATGAAAAAACAATTTGTGGTAACCTGAATATGATTA